CCCTTATATAAATTTAATTTATATTAATATTTGGATTAATTTCATGATTATTAACTATAAATTCAACAATATTTTGACATAAAATTCTACGTAAAGTAAATTGTTGAACAAGGCATGACTGCAATTGGTTTGACGCCACTATTTTTATCGGTCGCTTTATTTATACTACAAAACTATGAAAACCACAGAGCGATTGAGACACGGGAGGAGGACATTAGGACAGATGGTTACGATTTTATAGTTGTGGGTTCGGGTGCCGCCGGTGCCGTTGTGGCCGCCCGGTTGGCCCAAAACCCAGCCGTAAACGTACTGTTACTGGAGACGGGCGGCCCCGCGGGTGGCAATACAGACATTCCCGGCGCGTATTGGCATTTCTTTAACTCACCCCTTGACTGGAACTACACCCATGAGCCACAGGCTGTGGGCCATGCGTTTCGCCATGGTCGCATTCCCGAAAATGCCGGCATGGCGATTGGTGGTAGCTCGTCGATCAACACCATGATTTATAATCGAGGTAATACGTATAAAATTATTTAATATATTTTTGTATTTTTTTAAAAATTTTATATAATATTAATTTAGAAATATTCATTAAAAATTTATTAATATAAGCTTTTTAAAACTTATAGTAAATATAAACTTTATATACGTTTTTAAAATTAATAACTGAAGGTAATCGACACGACTTTGACAAGTGGGCCAACGAGTCTGGTGCCCACGGATGGAGCTATGATGAAGTGTTGCCCTATTTCTTGAAGTGGGAAAATCAAACTGATCCCCAATTGGCCAAAAATGGTTATCACTCGACAACTGGCCCAATGCAGGTAACGTCATGGGCAAAACCGGCGCGAATCATACTGGCGCATCAACAAGCGCTGAAAGAGCTAGGTATTAAAACTGTGGACATTAACGGGGCTGACCAGAATGGCACAACAATTGCTCAGGCGTTTATCACAGCCAATGGCGTGCGATCGAGCGCTTCGCACGGTTACATAGATCCAAATCGTAACCCTAATAATTTGCACATTTTACCAAATTCATTTGTCACCAAGGTGATATTTAAAAACAAAACGGCCGTCGGCGTCGAGTTTGACCGACACGGAAAGGGGCAAACAATGCTCGCTATGCGAGAGGTCATTTTAAGTTGTGGTATAGTATATACAGTCGATTTCACATTACAAAACGCATGTTATTTAATGTTTGCGAGTAAACTAGGATTAATTTTTAAAATGTAATTCGGTACGATTGTGGGCATTTATGGTAAGCAAAAGTTGGCTATTTTAAATTTTTTGATTAACTTCTCAATTTTTGTTGAATGATAAATAATTGTTTTGCAAAAAGTACTGAATCAATCTTTACGTTCTAATTTTTAGAAAAAAGTAGACTTAACATTAAAATAATACAAATCTGAAATTCACTTATTTTCCGGACAAGATTCTTAACATTTTGGTATACTGATTTCTAAAATTGACAATGTTTATTAAAATGGCAAATATGTGAAATATGAAATTTTGGGCACTTTAGCGCTAAAATTTTGATATTAAATAAATTATATAAAAAATCCTGATACAGGTGTCGACTCAATTTAAATTATGTACATTTTGAGATATAGAACGCAAAAATCGACCCAGTAGTTTTTTAGCAACAATTATTCATCATTCAACAAAAATTGAGAAGTTAATTAAAAAATTTAAAATAGCCAACTTTTGCTTACCATAAATGCCCACAATCGTATTGAATTACATTTTTAAAATTAAACCTAGTTTACTCGCAAACATTAAATAACACGCGTTTTGTAATGTGAAATCGACTGTATATTAATAGGTAATATTAAATTGTTGTATACAAAAACAATTATCTTATTGATTAACAATAACCAACTATTAATAATATATTTAATTATATATTGTATCATAATTATTTTTGTCCAATTTGAGTGTTGTTCTAGTAATTACAGTAATACTTTGATAATTTAGTACATTTGTAATTATTCATATGAAAAAATTAATAAAATACAAATAATGTGCTGTTTTAATTATATTACATTCGCAATAATTATATTCGTTGTTAAAATCAATAATTCATAGATTAAAATAGCCAACTTTTGCTTACCATAAATGCCCACAATCGTACCGAATTACATTTTAAAAATTAATCCTAGTTTACTCGCAAACATTAAATAACATGCGTTTTGTAATGTGAAATCGACTGTATAACAAGAAAGTTATTATTACCTTGTAAGTTATTATATAGATATATTAGTATAAACAATACAAGTTCATAAAATATAATTTTAATTATCAAAACTGTGATAAAACTTGAATATAAAGTTTGTTGAAAATTACAATAAAACTATAATTAATTCTGAACAATGTTCATAAAATCAATTATAAAACAAATACTTATAAAAACATTACTATTGTGTGGATTCCTATATCAGGCGTCGAGAATAAGTTTAATATACTTCTCATACCAAACCACAGCAAACGTCAGGTTTGATTTGGAAAGTCGTTTTAGACTACCGGCGATCACTGTTTGCACCGGAATTAAGAAATTAATTCACCCACATTTAACCCCGATGTACACCAAAACAGAATCTGACCATGATACATTTGATTATGATAAATTCTATAACCAATCAGTGGCCGACCAATTGGCATCGTTCGTACCGCACCATCAGCTATTTACTTGCTACTATAAACATGATGGAAAAGAACCACCTTGCTATAACATTACGCCATATCGTTTATCAACTACATATGGTAAAGTTTGTTGGACTATATTTTCCCGATGGTCTGCCGAACCAGAAACTAGCTATTTGGTTAAGCAAGGTCGCAACAACAGTTCATTGCACATTAGGCTACTGTTTCCAAATACAACCATGCTAGATTTATTCAAATATGAATATTTTATTGCCAGACTTCGATTGCCGTCAGAAAGGGTTCGATTAGTTATGCAAAAAGATTACGCGCCTATAGTTTTGCAAAATAAAAGTCGAAGTATAGTAACATATCGACAGATTACCATGGTTGATAAACACCAATTATCGACCAACAATAAATGTTTGCTAAATCAGGATCGCGACGATTGTGTTAATGAGTGTGTGATTCGGGAATATTATAGAAAATATTCTGCCCTGCTATCTAAATATCAAATGTATCATGATGACATTATAGCTAACATATCAACCTGCGCTAAATGGGATGAACGGGCGAATGCGATTGAAATCGCTTGCGAACGTGAATGCAATGACCGAATAGAGTGTATACAACACTATTATACGATTGAGTATAAAATGGTTAATTATACCGAAACTGGACATAGATTTTACGTAACACTACCGACAGAACCCGATATAATATACGAAATAACTTTAAAAATGTCATTTGAAGAGTACGTTGTGTTCATGGGATCACATCTAGGCCTATGGTTTGGTGTATCGGTTCTTATGTTCGCTAATCTATTCACACAATTCTGTATCAAATATAAAACATTTATTTGTCGACCAATTAATTATACAAATATAATTAATGTCACAAATAATACTCAATTATTCAAACTCGCTAATAGGCAACCAGTTGTGCACCCTACGACACAGAGTAGCCAGAACTAATTACCCAGGTAATATTTATAAATAACAAAAAATACTCACAATTGTCAGAATACAGAAGAGAATTAATTATTATATTAGATTTTTAATACATTCTGTATTATAATTGAAATAAATTTGTATCTTTTTAAATTAATTAAAAACTGCAAACTTGAAATCACAGTATTATTATCATACTATAATGCAAATATTTATCTAAATAATTAAAATTAAATATTATTAATAATTTCCGCCAAACCAATAATTCCACGTATATTTTGTATGACGATAATTATGTATATGGTAACAATGTCGTAATTACATGTTTACAGTATATAATATTCAATATTTTAAATATATGAGTATACTTCATAAACATACTTTATAAACATGGAAAAATATTTGTTGCTTTTAATTAATTATGTTATAATAAAATGGCAAGTAAATTATTTTAATATTTATAGATTACACTGGTGTACATGTAATTATATCAAGTAATATAGAAATAATATGAGAAAAACACAAAATAATTTTAAATTATAATACAAAATACAAATATTTTATTTGATTAATTTGTTCCATTATTAATATATCAGGCATATCAAACAATTAAATAACAACTGGCCACTTTAGATGATCAGAGTGCCGGTAATTGGTTGGTCCATGTTGTAACTTTTTGCAGCCACCTGCTGTATCTGCATCAACGCCACGAAAATGATCATGATCACTACAATTGCGATTAAGTTTGCTTTAATATCCATTTGTTACCACTAATTCACTTGTGTATAATTGTGATAAATATGTCAGTATATTTACAATATTTGTTTGATTTTATGTCAATAATTGAAGTATGTATTTATTATACATGTTTGTAGTTTAATTAAATTTCTTATTTAAAACTATAAAACGTTAAAATAAAACATTATGCAATATACATTTAAAAACATCTGTTAATTAATTAAAAAGTCATTTAAATTAGTTGTATTCAAATCATTTCGGAAAAAATTATAGTCAACATTAAAATGGCCACAGAAATGATGAATTTATTGACCGCCATAATCACCATATGTCTAGTGCTAACTGTGCGCACAGGGCCAGCACCAACAATAGTGCATGGTGCTGCTACTAACGTCACTGCAACCACCTCTACCGGCACGGAAACTGGTACCGCAATTAACGGCACCAAAACTGGTACCGGTGGGTCCACTACTGGTACCGGCGGGTCATCTACTGGTTTTGCCGATGCGTTTACAAACACCGCCAACAGCGCCACCAGTGCTTTCACGAGCACAGCTAATGAGGCCGCCGGTGCCTTTACGAGTGCCGTTAGTGGTGCCACGGGTGCCGCTACAAAGGCCTTTACTGATGCCGCCCGTGTGTTTACAAATGCATTTACCCGTGGATTTGCTGTCTTTACGAACATGGTTAGTGGTGGTGTCGGTAAAACTACTGGTGCTGCCCCGCAGTGATGCCCCTATTGGTGTTGCCGGTGGTCGACAAAAATATTATTGTGTTATACTGTATATCATTATTTTATTCAAATAAACACAACTTTTAGTCGTTAAAAATTTTAATGATGTTTTATGGTTTTGTTTTAAATTGTTTTATATTGTAATAAATTGATTGTTGTTTATTTAAATAATGTTTTTATTTTTATTTTATACAATCAGTCCAATGATGTTATGAATTACTTTATAAATTATTTGAAATTATTCAATTTGTTATTTAATTACTTTATTAGTTAATGATTTTTAGTTATTGTTTATGACATTTTGCCAAAACATAGTAAATATAATTATCAGATTAAGTAATGATGTTCATAGAGCATATTTTCTACACATAATTTAACTTGTTAACTACATTTGCAAATAAACTGTAAATGTTTCATAAAGGCGTACTAGGTTGTATAAGTATTTAAAACACATAAATTTTATTGGGAAAATGAAGAGGTTTTATATTTTGTGTATTTATATTATACAAAGAGTGAATACACATCTCTTACAATATTGAATGAAACTTGATATAAAAATGTGTCATTTGTTTGCTTAAAGTCTTAGATTAGATACTATTTTAAATACTTTTAAAAATAATATGCTTATTATTATATTTGTTCATTATAGGGAGTGAAAGTTTTAGCTTAATCTCTATAAATCCGTTCATAATAGGGAGGTATTCATTATGGTGAAGTTTACCTAAGAGAAGTTGGACTGTATTACAAACTGTAAATATGTAATTACCTACAACCGGCATTGAATGTTCCCAGGTATACTCATTAGTAATGAGTCATTACATTGAGTTTACATAGAGTTTTAGTTAAAAATATGAGCAAGTGCCGGTTACTGGTAATTACAATATTGTCACCATGTTCATGATCCCGGCAAAACACTCAATATTTGGAACAAACTATAAGTATAATGTTATTAATGGGAAACTTTGAGAAATGCAATATTTTACAATAAAAATTATATTTTCAAATCGATTAGTTGACTAACTTAGCAAAATTTAAAGTGAATTACTTATATGCAAACTCTATTATTTATAAACAATATAATAATTTATTTAGCAGCATTGTATCTCAAAAGATGCACCGAGAGTATTTTAGTACATATACTTTTTAAGTATAATCTGATCAAGTTATTAATTTTTATTTAGAAGCTAAGTGAAGCTATTTTGAAACATAGTTATTATAAATAAAAATATAAGTTATTTCAATTTATTTGTATTTAAATTGCAAATATTTGAACATCCAAATATTTAAAAATGCAACAAAATATTTATGCAACAAAATAGACCTTAATTATAAATCTACAGTTTGCATGCATGTAAAAATAATTTAAATAACCCGTATTTTAGTTAAATGTTGAAATTAAAAATTTGAATGCATTTATCGTGATTAGTTATATTTAGTTAAGTAATTAATTAACTGTTTTTAATGGTTGAAAGTACTAATTAATTATTGATACGTTATATTTTTAAACAAATTAGTTTTATTGAAGTAATTTAAACATTATTACGATATAAACATTATATGCATAAAATAAAATAAAATATTGGTACCAATAATAAATGCGAATATAATTAAAATAAATAATAACAAAAAACTTAATTTTAAACCAAAATTAATTAACAAATTTTAAAATAATTAATTAATACCCAATATCTTGATGTATAAATACATGATCTTTGGGTCCGGTTCTGGCCCTTCGCTTTTCAATCAGATCTCTAGTGGCGTACCGGCGGTCGTAAACCCAACCAATGGTTGCCAATTGGTCCAAAATGAACGTGGTCACATTACACTTCCAACCCCATTCACTGGTCGAATAATCCCAGGGAAAGGTGTGATGAAAGTTATGATACCCTTCGCCTATTGTAAAGAAATAAATAATTATACAAATACACAAAATTATAGCAACAGGGTGACCAGATATATTCAGGAGTAACCTCAATTATGCATATGTAATTTGAAAATCTTTGTTTGTTCGGAATCTATTTGGTCACTCTAGTTGCAATTGTATTAATTGTTAATTAATTATCAACCTTAACAAATAGAGTGATTAAATTACGTGATTATCTTTAATTTAAATGCTAATTTATTATCAAAAACCATCTGGTCACTCTACTAAACAAACCTAGAACGAGAGCGGCTATGGGGCTATTATCGGTCGGACCGATGCTCACGTCGTACGGCTTATAGCCCCACATGTGTGCGGCCGAGTTGACTAACCAACAGGCGTTTAGGGCCAGTATATACCGGAGCCAAACGCACACAAAGAACCCGTTGCACAGGGTTTCCGACCAGAAATACATGGGAACAACAGTCGGCATAACAAAACACAATATGATAGCCGCCGGCTTGTAGTGGCGCCGCTGTATGGCCACCACCGGGTCGAACAACATATCGGACGAGTCAATTTTGTCACCATGGTCAGCGACCGCCGGGTGTGGGGCACACATAAGCCAACCGCAATGAGCGAAAAAGAACCCCCTAAATAGATTACAAGGTTACAAAAAATTATATTGGCCAACTTAGTTTTAAAATTAATTTTTATTAGAAAATTCCCAAGTGGTAATATTTTAAAGTTTTTAAAAATACTACAAACCTTTTTGAGTTGACACAATCGGCGTCAGTCTCGCTGTATTTGTGATGCGCGCGGTGTTCGCACGCCCACTCATAAATTGGACCCTGGTACGCGATTGTGCTAAATATGCCAAGTATTATACGTAAGGGCAGCGACGCTTTGTACGCTCGGTGCGACCAAAGCCGGTGTATACCAGCGGTGACACCAAATATTGAGATGTGATACAAAAATATGGCTGAAAATAAAAAATATGATAAGAACCATTTAATATAGCATAATTCAAATAATAAAATGTAAAACATAATGTAATATAATTTATTAAACATACCAAAAAGTGTGGTCAAAATTTTTGCCGACGTGAATACTAGATAACTGCCATATATGGCCGCTATGTGTATAGCGGTGTAGTATAAGACGTTGCGCCAAATAATGTGGTTAAAACAATTCCAGTTATCATTTGTTTCCCTGTATTTCACATCATTTGAATTAAAATCAATTAATTTTTTTACTGAACGCTCGTTTGGCGGCATTTTATACATAGAATTAAATTAAATATATTTTTTAAAATTATTAATAATGTTTGTAAATTTATATACAGTATCATTAATTGATTTATAACTAATAAAGTTCCCGCTACTTATATACAGTGTGTCAAATAATCAACTTATTTAATGTAAAAATTTAATTTAAACTTGTACTTAAACTTTATATTTAAACTTTATGTAAACTTTATAAACTTGTGCTCTAACATGTGAAAATTTTGTTATATAAAGTGCCCTTTACAATAAAAACAAACTTAAAAATACATAAACAGTAATAAATAATCAGGATGATCCAAAATATAATACTGTATATAAATGTAATTACTACTTTTCACGTGTTTAATTTCAGGCACATCTCAAGACCTTGAGTTAAGATAATACTTAATATAAGTTATATTATATAACTTAATATAAAGTTTACATGTACTTTAAAGTGTATTTTTAAATTATCTATTTATTTATAGATTTAGTAGCAGTTAATTATATAAACTTTTTATAACAAGATTACAAGTTTATTTTGTATAAGTTCATTGTGTATTAATACAGTATATTATATTAATATAAATAATAAATTCAATTTGTATACAAATTTAAAATTTTTTAATTTATTTATTTCTGTCTAATAGGTATAAACATAATAAACAAAATATAAATATTTATTTTGTTTGTTAATTATTTAAATGAACTTTGTGCTACCAATAGTTACTGATTTATGTTTATTTTATTTTTAATAATAATAATAAGAAATTTCATCCATACAAAGATTATTTAGTAATAAATATAAACATTATAATCAAGTGGTAATTACTTGTTTATAGTTTGTTAAATAAATTATATTAAATAATATAAAATTTTTTTATTAAATTTGGTTTGAGTTAAGACATTTAAAATAACATATAAAATTCAATTAATAGTAAAATTAGCATTATTTAATAAGTCCATCGTTCTTAGCATGATGCTTGAATTGTCGTGTTAGTATTTAATAATAATTAACATGGGAAACTATATAAAAAGATATATTGTTAATATGTAAATTAAAGACACAATTAAATATTGTCCAAGTATTTAATATTTGGTAATAAATATACTGTAAACGCATCAATAAATCGTTTATTACTTATTTACAGTTTATAGTGTTTTATAGTGTATTACGTTTTATTGCAAACAATATTAAATCAATAATAATTAAAAATTAAATATTACTTAAAAAATTTTATAAAGTTTATATAATTAATATTAGTGTAGTTAAAACAAATGTCAACTTTTTAATTATCACTTTGTCTTAACATTAATAATAATATATTAAACCTTATTAATAATCCTTCCGGTATCTCGCATATAGCGCTGGGCGTCGGCCAAGTGGTCGCACACCCGGAGCCCAATCGCACGCAACGGTTGCCCAAAACACTGGTCAAAGTGTGCCGACTCTGTGTCCGTCATGTGTCGCCTCCAATCGCCAATTGTGCCCAAACGCATGAATTGCGCGCCGGGTTTGCCGTAACGGGCGATGAGATCGGACTGATTGGCCGCCGGATTGTCGCGCATTGTTCGCAGCGAACAGTGGGTCGTAATGTTGGCTACCGTTTCGTCGGTAAACTGTTTGCCGAGAAAACGGGCGATTGTGGCGATCGTCGCCGCCGTGTCGGCGATCAACTCCTCGTACGCCACGAACAGTACGTTCGGGCAGTGATTCCCAGTGCC